CCACATGGCCAGGAGCCGCCAAGAATAGCTGCAGAGACATTAAGATCTGTGCTTGCTACCGAGCTGCTGAGAGCACTGGGTGTCGATTAAATTTTCATACCTCCCCGACAGAATATTTTGTGTGCTGTGTTTTAACTTAACACCACACACACACACACACACACACGAAGGGACTTCTTTTCCCTTTGCAAGCGCTCCAGCTCGACAGCCTGGCGACATCAAAGGGCATTCAGGGCTAAGAAGCCAAGTGGTTTCCCTCTTTTGCCATCCCTCCCACCTCCTCCACTCTCCAGCCTCTCTCCCTGGGAGCAGGGAGCCCAGGGGACAGGTGCCAGTCTTCCAAGGAGCTGCAGTAGCTCCTGGAAGCACTGAGGCTTACGAAGGTTTCCCAGCTCATCTCAGGTCTGAGCAAAACCCAACAGGAGCAAACACCTCTCTGGTTCAGTCATTAATTTTGCTGGCCCTTGCCTGTCCCACATAAAGCTCTCGCTCTCCAAAAGGAAAAAGAAGAAACACACCCAGACCAGTGTGATGCTCAGATCCCACTCACACTGTTCACACATAGGTGTTTTGGGGAGAGCAGCTGAGTGCTGAGCATCCCAAAGGATGACCGTGACACCCCTGGAATTTATGCCAACAAGTAATGAGCAATTTTGTACACATACACAAGGAAAAATAACTGCTTTGCAACAGATTCGTCCTCTGAGCCCCTCCAGGATCACTCAACCAGTGCAGGACAGTCGAGGCTTGCATCCAGCTCTGATCCATGTGCTCCAGCACAGCCAGTGATTTAACACCTTTCCCTTTCCCAGCGCCCCGAGTCAGGGCTGCCTGAACAGGCCCCATCTCACAAAAAAGGACAGATGTTTCACCACAGCTGAAAACTTCAGCTGAAGATCTCAGGTTTGTCACTTCATGGTCAAAACAAGCTCAAGCCAACTTTTGAGAACCCACTCCCACGCTCAGCAGCGTGAAACCCGGACCCGTGCAGGTGGTGAGGTTCCCTTCGCACGTGGTGAGGTTCATCTCACACGTGGCGAGGTTCATCTTGACCCTTTTGCACACCACATTTAGAGGAGATGCCGAATGCCACAGCAGTGCCAGGCCCCCGCAGGGTGGGGTCCCCTTGCCCTCTCTCAGCAGCAAGTGCCAGTTGAGTCACGCTGGCTGCAAGCCCCCTTCCTTGCAGCAGGAAAGCCATCTCCTAAAGCTCCCTGTACATTTTTGCCCTCCTGCTTCCCTATAGTCCCAATCCCTTGTGCCACCAGACGTCTTTTGGGTTTATAGCAAGCAACTGTGTCTGGCTACCTCCCGTTAAGCCTCACCATGCAATTTTAATGAGCAGCATGGCCACTTTTCGAGCCCTACTTTAGCACTTGTGCCTAGGACGGAAATTTTTTTAGCCATCATTGCCAAGAGCCATGGCCCCGTGCAGAGTCAAGTCATCTCTTTGCAGGATCTGGCCATGTGGCATTCTCCGTGCATTTATGTTTTCATTTGTCCCGTACAAACCTAACACCAATTCCCAACTATTGGCTGTGGATCCTGTGCCGCTCTTTGGAGAGCACATGGCAGTGCTCCAGCCAAGGCACTCAAGGGAACAGGCAGGACTGACCCTTCTCCCCACAGAGCCCACCAAGCCCAGCCCACAGCCCCAGTACATGCTTGTCACGGGCGCTTTTCTTCCCAACTCAGCTCCCAGCAGAAAGAGGAGAAAGAGGAAAGCCAAGCTCCTCCTCACTACCTGCAAGCACAGCAGCTGAGAGCTTCCAAACAGTAATGCAAATAAACCAGCTTGGTGAATAAATACAGCCCCTCGAGCCAGCATTTCAGAGGAAATCACAATTTCAAACTCCTCTCCTATTTGCTCTCCAGGACTGGGGGAGCCAGGCTGAGCACCCAAAGGCACCCACGCCACCGAGCGCCCATGCTGTGCCCAGCCAGCCCTATGGCACACCCCAGCAGCCCCGCACCAGCCCTGCCACCCCCTCCCGCACCCCAGTATGACTGTTTAATGATAAAACTGCAACCCAGCCCCTGCCCGGTGCCGGCACGCCTGCAGAGGCGGAGAAGTAGGACAGCCAGCCTCTTCGCCAGCATTATTTTTCCCTCTGGTTTCTACAGAAATCAGGTTTGGTCTCGAGCCAGCCCAGGGATGGGGAATCTGTTCCAGTACAAGAAGAAAAGCAAAAGACTGCTTAGCCCCTGTTTTGGACTGCAGAGACAGCCAGAGACGCAAAGCTAAAACTCCTCTCTAAAAGAAATTCAAGTCCTTCAGACTTCCAGGGACGGGAGCTGTAAAAGCTGTAACACACCACAGTTTAAGGCTTTCTTTTTAACCCATACTGTGATGTCTACCTAGCAAGACAGCATTTCACACAGGCAAGGTTGATGAAAACAAGGTGAAAGGCAAGCACGTCCATGACATAACATGCATGGAAAGCACCGCTGGGCCCATTAGCTTTTGTGATGCTATCTACAAATTCTGAGAGCCACGCTTCTAGACCCAGTAAAATTGTGGAGAAATGGATTTTAAAATCATGATACAGTCAGACATGGGAATGCTACAGTAAGCAATTTCTTTGAAAGATTGCTCGAGTGGTTTTCCTGTGATCTCCCTCTCCCCTGCAAGGCTGCAGCGTTAGCCTGCAAGGACAGAGCCTCCCATTGCTTTAACTCTGATGGAAAAGCAGAGGCTCCTCCACCAATCCCCCCAAAACTGTGGTATGTGCTGGCCAAGGTCCATACTGGTCCATTCTCTTGTAAGAAAAGGCAGAAGCCCATGTTGCTGCCTCTGAGCAGCAAAAAGACAGAGCATCCAGAGCCTTTGCAGGCCAAAGGCACCCTGCAAGACAGCCCATGGCCCCAAGGAGGGCAAGAGGCTCAGCCAGACAGTGCTGGGAACTGTGTCCATCCCTCACTGCCTTCCCAAAGGGAATCGGCAGCATTTTACTACCCAGGCTCCAATCCTCGTTCAATTAAAACCAAGGAAGGTCCCTAATCCTCTTTGTTATAGGTAAGTAATAGCTGGTTCCTTGCAGAGGAGCAGAAAAGGGACACATATTGTGGTCCTGGCCATTAAGGACGTCACAACAGAGCGTGTCTGCCCAGCGTGGTCACTGGTGCTGAGAAGATTATGATGATTATGATTATGATTATGGATACTGGGGCTGTGGCCCCCCAGGTGCCTCAGAGAGCCCTTGATTTAACAGCTAGGGTAGGTCCTGCAGAGCTCAGTTTCCAGCACTCCCAGCAGCATCTCCCGGCCTTCCCACCCAGTAAGATCCAGTCGGTGGATCAGTAAATCCCAGACACTGAACAGATCAGCTCCAGCCTTTCCAGTAAGGACATCCTAAACAACAGGAGACCAGACTTTCCTCAGGAACCACCAGTACAAACCCTTGAGGTCAATCAGACCATAAATTGCCTGTCCATGCATCTCATGGGCTCCTCACACGCTGCAGCTGGGGCTCTAGCATAGAGAGCACTGCTGCAATTTGCTGTAGGCACCAAAGGATGGGGAGGAGGTGACACGGGGAGCAAGCCCTGGCTTTTGCAGGGAGACAGTCACAAACACAAGAAAGAAGGTGCAGGGCATCACTAGTGCCAGACATGGGCCATGCTGGGCACGCAGGGGCTGCGGCGCAGCGGTGCAAGAAGCAGGCAGCAGCAGCCCAGCTGTGCTAAAGGCAAGGCAACCACACCACCAGGCAGGAAAAAACACTTTTCCCACTATACTCAATTGTGCCTGGGCAACAGGCACTGTAGTTAAGTCTCTAATCCCATTGATACACCAGAAGCAGAGACAAATGGACTTTTTTTGGTCTGAACACTCAGGTGTTTAAAGTCTGCCTAACTCCTGTGCCAAAGCAGCAAGATCCTGAACACCACCATCTCCTCTAGGAAGGGGAAAATCAAATCCTCATGGCAAGGTCAATCCCTTGCCATGAACTCTCCCCTTTCTACCCCAGTCTGGGTTTCATGGTCCATCTGGCCACACACACCATCCTGTACCCCTAGAAGGACCCCAGGATGGACACCCCAACACCGCAGTGCTGTGCCTTCACCTGGGGTTAAAACCCAGCATTTCTGCTCACGATGAAGTAACTATTGAAGCATGTTTCCCCATCACAAGCCATCCAACGTGCCTCCCGCAGAGCAACACCACTCCGCAAATCTCCGGGCGTTATGGGAACCAGGGTATAAAAACATTCCCGGTGCAATGACGCCAAAATTGATGCTGAAATTAGGCTGGGAACAGAACTGGTACAGTTGCTTCCAGCCTATAAGCTAAAAAGTACAAATATATCCCATCACCCACAGTGATATCGCACTTTGTGATCCTGCTTCCAGTTTTGCCCCCGAGTCGCTCCTGGCATACCCTGACGGCTTGGGCACCAGCAACTTCATGTGGCTGCAAACCACAGGAACCCAGCCCAGCTTCATCAGCGCTGACAGCCATTTGCAGCACAAATATCAAAGGTCTCAGCTCTCTCTCAGACACCAAAACGCTGCCCCTGCTCCAGGCAGGGGGTCCAAGCCCAGCTCCCGAGCTTCCCAAGGCCACCGCAGGGATGCAGGCACATCCATCACTTGATTCACAGGGAGAGTGGTTAAGCAGTACTCAGAAACCATGTCCACACTTACAGAGCTGCCCCAAGGAGCGCAAGAGGTGGAGCAGGGAAGGAAGGATGCATCCCTGCTCCCCAGGGACAGCCCTGGAGCAGGAGTCTTCCTGCAGCCCCTGCCCACAAGGTTTTGCTCTCTGTAATGAGTTGCACAACCAGCCCAGAGATAGAAGCCAGGCCCTCAGAGCTCCCTTTGCCCAAAGACATGTAACACGTGCCTCTATTCCCCATCTCCTGCCCAAACTGGAAGGATCAACCCCATCACAAAGGAAACTCAGCATCTCACAGGTCTCCAGGATGCGGGAATACCATCTCCAGCTCCCCATCCCCGTGCCCAGCTGCCCAAATTAACCATAGAGCAGCACTACTCACATTGTAGAGGACTGTGGTCCACCCTTCCATGGTGATGCACTGGAAGACGGTCAACACAGCAAAGAGGATGTTGTCAAACTGCGTGATCCCGTCGTTGGGACCGATCCACTCCCGGCATTCGTAGCCTGGGGGGCAACCCTGCACCCCACATGGATGGGGGGGGTCCAGCTCCTCTAGTTCACCTGCAAGCACACAGCAGAGAGGTAAGAGAGAGGCAGGGGACAGGTGAGGTGAAGAGCCTGAACACAGACGTGCTTGGGGCAGAGCAGGGGACCCCACTGGGACCAGCCCTGGCTGTATACAAACTGCTCCCATAAGAAACTGGGACAACCTGAACGCAACCAGATGATGCCTGGTGTGAGCGAAGCAAAATGCAGGATCTTCTTAGCCCTGGGCTTCCTATGATAGCCACATGTGCTCATCCCAGCTGTTTTCTACCCAAGGGGTGCAAATTGGGTGCAGAGCCCTTCTCCCCACCTGAATTGTTTGTATAGCAGGCTCGGTGCAGCTTCCCGCTGTAAAACTCCAGGCCAATGATGGCAAACATAAGGATCGCAAAAAAGAGCAGCAAGCCGATCTGGAGGAGAGGCACCATGGCCTTCATGATGGATTTCAGCACAATCTGCAGGCCTGGGAGGGAAGAGAAAGGGCACAGCTCAGCACAGTGATGCAAACCACCTGACTGGGGCACATCCATCCCACTCATAGCAAGAAGAAGACAGTGTGCAGAAGGGATGGACGGTCATCAGACAGATACCAGAGGAGCATCCCTTTAGGCAGGTGAGGGCCATGGAGGAAAGCACCACCCCAGGGGAAACAGGAGAGTCCTGCTCTGGTGTCTTGGCTGCCCTTATTCCACCTGGAGTTGGTGGGACATGGCCCATACAGCTCTATCCCCCTCACTGCCCTAAAGACACGGATCCGGCACACTGCCCAGCCGGTGCCCAGGGTGTGAGGGATGGGAGGACTGGCGCCGGGAACAGCCTAGTTTCTTTATTTATCCCCGTGCCAGCAGATGAAATCTTGCAAAAAACCTGAAGTCTCCCCTGAATAAACCTCAGTCCTGAAAGGATCCACCCACCGCCTTCTGGGCAGGGAAGCGGAGCTGCCGGTGGGCCCCAGTGAGACACCAAGCCCAGCCTTGTACCAGCACAGAGCGGGCTGGATGGAGGGAAATGCCACCCGGGGACACCAAATGCTGCCATCCTAGAGCCCCCACTACATGAGGAGGTTTGTCCCTCTCTTCCCTGATAGCACCCCATGTCTCTGAGGTGACACATGGACCCCTCTGTCTCTGAAGGGCATTGGGGATGGATGCAGACTCCCCAAGAGGAAGACCAGGAGCATCCAACTTACTGGGAATGCCTGAGACGAGCTTCAGAGGTCTGAGCACGCGCACGGCCCGCAGCGTCCGCAGGTCCACGTGGGTGTTGAAGTGCGTCCCAGCAGTGGCGAGGATGCTGCAGGCAAACAGGAAGAGCACACAGTTGCCCCAGGCAGAGCCCTCGGTCACCCTCATGCCAGGAGTCACATTCCCATCCCAGGCTGAGGGGAGCCGTGAGGAGCACTGTGTTCCTGGGCAGAGAGTCAACACTGCCCAAGTCCCCCCATGAGCCAGGCACCATGGGCCACTCTGGTCAGTCAAAGCCATCCAGGGGCCACCCAGCCCTGACAGCCCCCATCAATGCCCCCTACATGCCAGGATGGCTGGGCACAGCCCCATGCCACAGCGCTGACCATCACCCATGTCCTGCAATCACACTCTGGGGCCTCAACGCTGCCATCACGGTGCTCATCACAGCTGCATGAGTTTAACCTCTCCTCCAGGCAACAGGCACACGGACTGGAGGTGGTGCCCCAGAGATGGGGGTCGCTCCCCTGATGGTCACCCATGCTCCGCTGGCAGCATCTCCAGCCATCAGCTGCTCTGGCTTTTTCCACATACGAAGCTTTCTTAGAGTCCCACCTCTGGGATTGCCGAGAAGGAGCCGAGAACCTCACATGCATTCAAAAATCTATAGTAATGAAAGTTTGATGACCTTGGAAGGCAACTGGCAGGCACGGGAAGGACTCCAGAGGTTTTCTTTTAAAACACAAAGTTAAATTTTTTTTTTTCAAGCCCTTCTCTGAAAAACAAATTGGGGCAGGAGGAAGCCGGTGCACACCAAGTCCAGCAGTGGAAATACTCAGGGCCTCTGTACCTGCCGGGGGGATGGGGATGCTGGCAGAGCCGTGGGAGCACCGACAGCAGTGCCAAAGCCTGTGGCCTCCTCTCCCATCTGGGCTGGGTCTCAGGTGCTGGGCAAGGAGGAGGAGGACGGAGGGCCGAAGTAGAGGAGCAGGGGATGGGAGAGTAGGAGACAGGGAGGAGAGCGGGACAGAGGGAGGCAGCAACCTCCAAGTTGTTTGCAGCAATCCAAAAACCGAGGGAAATTGGGTCATTGTTCCACTAATTCATCTAATTACAGGCCAGAGCAGCTCTCTGGCGCGCTGAGCAATTAGCACTCTTTCTCTCCCCCTCTCCCGGAGGTACGGTAGGTACCAACCAGCCCCTCCAGAAAGGTGGCTGGGTTTCCTAGGATACCCCAGCAGCAGAAACACTCTCACATCAGCAAACCAGGTTGTTTCAACTCCTTTTCCCAGCCTCCTCTTCCCTCCCTGCTCCAGGCACAAGGAGTTAGATGCAAAACCTGGCCCCAGAAGCAATTGGGATGCATCGCCCACAACTCCCCATGTATCTGGCTTCTTATCCTCAATATATATGGGGATCTTTTATGGATGGCACTTTCCTTTCCTCCAGCCCCACTTTGGTATGGTGCCTGTGCCTCAGCCCATGACCAGCCCCTGCTACCCACTGGGCTGACGGGAGAGCAGAAAAGGGACTTAATTAAGTCAGGAGCACCCAGAAGCCAGGGAGAGCTGCGTTGTTAAATCGGTTGTAAGATCGAAATCAATAACTATGATAAAGCATGGCCACTCAGCAGCACGTGGGAGAGAGAAGAGCACAGGCACTTCCATCTCTTTCATGCAACCTGCCAGCAAGAGCAGGGTAACCCATTGCTCCCCAAAATACCAACATAGAGGACACGCTACGAGACCCCGAGACCGTTCTTCAGCTTTTGCTCCTCATATTCTGATGCCTGGCATCTAACCAGCCTCCCAAAGAAATGGGGGAAGGAATTTCCAGGAGACAGGGATGCTCCTGGGCTGGACGTAGGCTCCAGCCCATCTTCTGAGGGCTCGCCAACACAAGCCCAGTGAAAAGTCTATCTGGAAGGCTCCTGGCAGCAGACTGGCATCACCATCTCTCTCCTACCCTCACAGAGGAGCATGAGCCGTGGTCCTGCACAGCAGGACAGAGCAATGGAGGTGGAGCCATCACCGCTCCCAGCCCCACCGCACATCTCCTGCCCGGGGCAAGACCAGCACCTGAGGCACGGACGGTCCAGGGGAGCAGAGCGCCCTGGCTGCAAAGTCCTTTGCTAACCCAGATTTGTTTGAAGGGCTCAGAAGCTGTCACGCTGAGCCTCCAGGCAAGGTTCAGGCGATTTCAGGGCACTACTTCCCCGCGCTCTAAATTAGCTGCTAAGAATGGGACTCCTCTGTGGCAAGGTGACATGCTCCTTGTCCTCTCTGGGGGACAAGGGACATCACGAGCTCTTTTGCAAGGGGGTTTGGACAGATCACCAGAGCGAGCTGGTTGCTCTGCAGCCTCATCTCACGACTGACGACAGAAAGACAACCCACCACTACGAAATAGGTGCTTGCATATCCTTTTGTGAGCACAGTCGCAGCTCCCGGCAAACCCATCCACTCCAGAGCATCCAATCACCCCAGAGCCTCCCAGCGGGGTCTGAGCAGCCCCAGACCACCTTTAGACCAATTGAGGTGGCTGGAGAAAGCTAAGCAAGCTGCCAGGCACACGAACCTGGCTTCTGTCTGCCTTTCCCTAGCCCTGCAGCGGCTGCCAGGAACAGACATCACCTCTCCCAGATAGCCAGACTTCACTAGCACACACAGACACCACCACGGTGTTACCAGTAATTAATAAATACAATACTCAAAACACACCTTCCTGCTCTGGACTTCAGCATCGCACCCCTTAATTGCTTATTAACCCTCTAAGCATGCTTTTTCTTTTTTATTTTTTCCAGAGTGCCACTCGTATCACAGAGCACAACCCATTCCAGATTTATTTATTGACACACATTACGGTTTCTTACAGCTCCTCGGGACATGTGGCACAGAGACGAGACTCGGGCAGTGACAGACCTTTATGTACTGACACAGGGCGGCAGCTCCAGTATCTGTAGAACAATTTAAACCCTTTTCGTACACTTACAATATCCATGTCTGATGTGCTAATAATTATTCTTTATTTTTAGGCAAGGACCCAAACTAAAATTACTTCTCACCATCCAAGTTATTTGAAAAAGCTGCCAGATTGGGCTATAAAAATCCCAATGATCTCATGCTTTTCATCATATGTACTGGAGAAAAAAAGAAGAAGAAGAAGAAGAAAAAAAGTGAAGGCGTTTTTATAGGTCACCCAGGCAAAGGGGTTACTTTTACTTCTTCAGAGGAAAGGGGGAAGAGAGACTTCAGGTGGAGAAAAGAGCAGAGAGGAGCTATTGGAAGAATGTAAATGAGAGAGAAGGCAGGATGGGAAATATATGCTAATCCCCAAAGTATAATTGAATAGTGAGCAATCACCGGCAGACAAAAACATGCTTTCAGGGGAAAAAAAAATAAAAAATAAAAATAAATCCAATGCTTTGTGTTTGCAACCAGGATGATTATTTTATTTTCTTTATTTGCAGGCTGCGGAGCGAAGGGCGAGCTCCCGCTGGGCCCGCCGCACCTGCAGGCTTTGGGGCTGGCTGCCGGCGGGGCGATGCTCAGCCCTCGGCACCGCTCCAGCTCCCAGCAGCTGAGCAAAGCGCACGCCTTCGCCTGCAGCTGAAGACCTGCACCTATGGATTTCTTTTCCCAGAGGGAGGGGGCAAAACAAACAAACTAAAAAAACAGAATAATCACATTTAAAATTACTCTCTGCTCTTTGGGTCTTAGCGGAGTAAACCATGAGCGATGCTCAATGCCCCTGCCCACGCAAAGCCCTTTTAGTAGCACAGAACAAGCACCAAATTTGGGCATTATCGCACACGACAGCACCTGCCATGCCCCCACTGTCCGTGCCAGGGGCTGCACATCAAATCCACCCCCATCCCCATTAATGGAGTGGCACCAGCAACCCTAAAGCCTCAGCCCTTGGGAACAGCACACATAGCTCAGGGCACACTGCAAAGGGCTTCACACCAGGGGCCCCAAGCAAAAGCTGAACGCCCAGATGATCAGATGAATCCTAGATTCACCGCCCCCTGCCCCAGCCTGAGCATCCCTGAGCACTGCCACCCACTGCAGAGGCACACGCAGACAAGCCGTCCCAGCAAAGGGCAGGTCCTGGAGGGCGCTATGGGCTGAGACAGACTCATCTCAGCTCCAAATCTGGGGCAGGGAGGGTGCTGGCTGGCTGGCTGATGCGCAAATTAATATTTATAATTAAGTGGAAAGGCCCCTGAAGGCCTGCACTGCCATCTGACTCTACGAGGGAGACTACTTCATAATTAATACACTGGTCAAATGGCTCAGGGAAAGTAAGTTACCTGATAAATTTACCCCATTCTCGCCCTTTTCTACCAGTGAATCAATCCCTGCCCTCTCTGTAGACAGCAGCATGAGTAGCAAGATGGACTCCAGGCTCTTGGGTCCAAACCCCACTCGAGGCAGGGCCAGTGGGATTGGGTCCCCACTCTGAGGATGCCACAGCAGAGCAGAGTGGCTCTGCTTTGGGGATGCCAGGGGATGGGGACACCAGGCCCAAGTCCTGCCCTTGGCACAGTTCAGAGCAACCTCAAAGCCTCCATCATCTTCACTTGCTCTTTCTAGGTTTCGGGGCCATGACACAAGTGGATTGCACTGCTGCGAAGCTGCTGAGCCTGTCTTTTCTGGCAGCTTTGAAAGCCCTGAACCGGGCACCAACGACTCCCTGCAAAGTGCGATGAGTGTGAACACAAAATCTGCCTTCACCAGCCTTCGATCCTGGGGACAAAATGATCACTGTTTCCCGTAGAAGCCCCCAGAATTTGGCACATTCGGTGGAGCATCCCCCCTGCGAGCCCACCCTGCGCCTCCCTCCCGCCTCCAGTCCCTGCCTCTCCACAGATGCAGAATCTGGGAGGGGGAGGAAGATGCTAGTGAAACAGTGTTTGCACAGACAGGACCTGGTGGAAACCTAAAGTCATTGCCAGGAGGCAGACTCGCAAATTAAAACACAGCACATGCAACCACGTAGCATCGCAGGAGCTGGCTGAACGCATGCCAAAGGAAAGGACTGAGACCCCAGAGGTATTCACCCAAGCCTGAGTGATGCCACCTCCACATGTAAGGAAACATGGTGGAA